ATGCTCGCATATGCATATAAACATTCGGGACACATTTACTAATAATCTGTTTTGACTCTTAGAAGTAATCTTGACAATTTTTTAATATTAACGTTAATAATGATTAAGAGACTCGTCCATTTTTTAATTTTGAAAAAAACGGAGACTACCTCCCGGGAATTTTGCTATTATTATTATCACTTATCACACACATTAATTTTCAAAATTCGACCCAACATCCTTGATTTTTGGGTGCGTTCTCAGCAATTAATAATAACTCGTTAGATAAAAGGATTATTAATAAAATATAATAGTAAAAAAAAATTCGTATTGTAAAAAAATTAAAAAAAAAAAAAAAATAAAAAAAAAAATAAAAAAAAAAAACCGAAAATACAACGAAATAAGTAGCAAGATTATTGAATAATCACTAATATTAACATAACGTACGAAAGTATTTCTTTGAATGGCGAGGCTTTTGTACTATGCTATATAAAATAAAAAAGACGTGTATGTACATTGCCATTTAGAAAGCTTCTCCGTATCAATTTAAATAAATGCATTCTTTAAGTAAATGTGTTTGTCTATCAACCGGGTGTTTTTGCTTTCAAGTTTATTGAAAACAACTAAATGGTTTTTATTTTTAGGTTGTTGTGCGATATCAATTACTGTATTATTATTATTATTATTTGGAAATCGGAAAAAATTTCTTTTCCATAGACTCTAATTTTGGTACTGATTTACACAATAAAATTTAATGTAAAAAATTTATGTATAATAATGATGATGTTGATGTTCGTCAGTATTCGAGAAAACCACCTTTGAGGCTGGATAAACAACTCGTTTCTGTTTTAGATGATAATATTGATGTTCATCAGTATTAGAGAAAGGATAAATAATTTGTTGTTGATGTTGATGTTGATGTAAATTATTAAATCAGATAAACACTTAGCAGAAGAAGCTGCCATCTGAACTGGATAAACCTTATACACAAACTCCTCACAAATTTAGAAATAAACATTCAGAATTTTCAAATTCCTCATGAATAAAATTCAATATTAATATTTGGGAAAACTTTCTGTCGCATTAAAGCTAGAGACCTGTATATGCAATAACAAAGCTATTTTTTTTAAAAAGGTAGGTCATAAAGTGATTCCTATACTTTTAAAGGTAATACAAAATTTAGGAGGTATTTAGAGGTTCTGCACCGTACAATCTGTATTGTAATTTCATTAATAAATATGCTACAAGTTAATTTATTACTATTTACTGTTACATAATATATAAAATCAATTAAACATTATGTAAATTTTTAGATATTATCTAAAGAAATTATTAGGTTGTATTATCCATCAGTTAGCTATATATATAAATTACAAATACTATACGTAGGTGACATAAACTAATCAACAAAATAACTTTTTTTAATTGAAGCAAACAATATCATTCAATCGTTCTCACATCCAGTTTACCCTGCTACTTGTGAAATTTTCTGGGATCTACAAATGGATATTCATAATGACAAGAGTTCTCACTAACATCGCTGTAACCTTTTGTTTCATTAATCTTTTTGGATATGAAGTCATCAATATCCGCATCAAAATAGTCAAAGAGCCTTGGATTAAGGAATGAATCTAATTCTTGACTAAGATTTAATTCAGTTGCCAGCGTTCTTGCTTCAGACAATGATATCCTATAAACCAAACAATCAAACAATATGCAAATAATCTTCATGAATTGACAACGCAAAGTATACTCACAATATATGTATAAAAAAAAAGCATAG